ATTTGTAATGAATTAATTTTTTTAAAAAATCAATTATATATATATATATGTGTGTGTGTGTGTGTCTGTATGCGCGCGCGCTTCTAAAATTTAATTATTTCGAGACAAAATGAGCTGAATGGGAAAACGGTTTATATATCGAGCGTAAAAAAGTTGTTCATGTTCACTTCGTTAACTTAGCGATGAATCGAAAGCGAGCTTCTTAAAGAGTAGTACACGAATTGTTTGCGAACAACAAGTCATTATGACAACTCTAATCGTGATACGCTGAAATGTTATTTACTATCAAACCATATAAAATTGTATATATATATTTTTTTCGAGAGCAACAATAAATTGATAAATAAAATAGAATATGTAAAAGACAAAAATGGAGATTAATGAATATATTAAATCGATAATTTTAAAAAGAGTTAAGTGCTAAAATAGTCCCCTATTACTTACATAAATCATTTTAGTTATAAAACTTTATATCTGGACTTTGGATATGGCTCTACATGTGGACTCTAGTAATATATCGACATGTGTGTTATATCGGGCTCACCTAAAAAATATTACTGGAATCGCGAAGGTAATTGGAGTGGAACTGCGGATGTTATTTAAGTTTAAATGTGTATGTTATTTTTAGGGTTATTATGAGGTTATTAAAAGATTATTGGGGGGGTTATTGAAGCATTAACTCCAATAACGTCGGAATAACCCCTCAATAATCTCTGAATAGGCCTTGTGGTTTCACTCTAATAACCATCGCAATAACCTTCCAATAACCTCTGCGATTTCACTTCAATAACGCCTGCAATAATCCTCTAATAATTTCCGCAGTTCGACTTTAATAAACCCTGCATTAACTCTCGCAATAACCTCCTAATAATCCCCCATTAACCCTTCAATAATTTATGTCGTTTCTTCAATAACCCTCCAATTATATCCGCAATGTAGCACAAGCGACGACATATTACAAGAAGTCCACACACAGAGCTGTGTCCAGACTCCAGATGTAAAACTTTTCTCTTAAATTGGGATAGGTTGAGATTGTCCTAAAGCTTAATTTTAAAAAGTTGAAAACGATTTTGATATTTCTATAAATTCTAGAATTAAAAGATCCAATATAAATAATTAGGAGCTATTTTGACACTTTACTCAATAAAAAAATATTAATTTGGATAAAAGAGTTCACATCTTATTTGACAAATATAATTCAAAATATTTCATGCAAAAAAATAATAATAATGTCATGTATATTTTTTTATGAATGAGAATAGAAAATTTATTCATGAATAATCCTTTCATTAATAGCACTATTCATTATGGATACATCATACGTTGAATCAGAATTTATATTAGTTTTATTAAATTATATGTTTGTATTTATTATCTTAGTTATAAATTAATGAAAGGATTATTCATCAACGAATTAATTTTTTTCGTAAATAAGATTTATTAGACAAAATCAATGTGGTATATTTAACTTATATTTCCCCGGAAATTATTAATTTAAGGGGCAATATAAGTTAATAAACGTATTATGATACCAAACCATCAAAACTCTTTTGTTATCGTATAATCACTTATGTCCAAAGTTCTATAAACATAATTAAACGGATTGATAAAGCTAATACAAATTAGAGGATTGTTATTGGTTTAATTAATAAATTTTTTGAAATTTATTGTCAAAATTTTGTTTTTTTTTTATTTCAAATCAGAAGAGCATGTAATATTTGGTACTGAAAAGTTCAAAAAAAATATATTTTATTAGGTAAATTTACATACATACCACACAATTCCTTTGCATTTACAAAACTAACAGAACATTTGATATTTATATTTATGTCACATCAGTGTTATAAATCCAAGCATGAAAATATATATTTTATTTATGAAAGGTTAGCAATAATATTTTTAATATAAAATTAAATATTTAGGTGTAATGTATATAAATATAAAAATTTGGGAGCTAGGTGAATATGTGTAGTATGTATACCACCAAAAATGTTTAGGACTCGTCACTTAGCTGTAACCGCTCTAGATGTGCTGAAGTGCACCTACCGATTCAAGGTAATGGATGATCGGCCATGGCTGCAAGATCAGAGATGCCAAGTAACAGTGGCCGAGGACTAGAGGCCTAGCAACAAAGCCAAGCAACCGAGGCCAGACATTAAGAGTCTGAGCAACTGAAGCCGAGGAGTGCACGACTGACGATCATCTAGAGCCGAATATTTAAATATCAAGTATCTATGCTTCATGACTCAATAACTCCGTTGGAACTTGACTTCCTCAAAGTCCCAAATCATAAAAAGGGCTATTAATATGTGAATGATATCATCATCCAATAATTTTTCTTTGAATTTTTTAAAAAAATTAAAATAATAATAATAATAATTTAATATCAAGTGATTTCTTTCTAATTATATTTTAAATGCTCATTTTATTTATAATTTTATTATAACACTAACTCAAATTAAAGAAAAATATTTAAGGTTTCTAAATTTCAGCTTTCCTTTAAGCAATACATACAATCATTGATATAGAGTGAAAAATGTTTAGATATGCTATCAATAATAAGTGGGATGGGCAGAAATATGCCATTTGTATTAACAAATGTAAGTTACAGCAAAATCTCAATTTTTATCATTAAAGAAAATCAGATGATTAAGGGCCCGTTTGGGGCAGGTTATTTGGTGCGGTGGTGTTTTGAAAACGCACCTGACTTGTTTGGGTAAACTATGTTTTGGCAGTCTATGCATTTTCAAAACGCAGAAAACAGCATTTTTACGTCGCACCTATATAGGTGCGGTGGGAGCTTATTAGCAACGATCTTAATTTTTCAAAAAAAAAAAAAAATTTTGTAATAGTCACCGCACCTAGCTTATCAGCAGATTATTTTTAATCAGTTTATCAGTTGATTATTCAATATAGACCCTAATTATGCCTAAGAATTTTAATTGCATAGAATTGATCGGTTCACGCTGATGGCTTCCATTTTAACTAAAATAAACATGATAATATTTTATTTTCACTTCTCTAACACCTAAAGCTTACTTTTTAAAATTTATACCGCTGAAATATTTTATATTATATGAAAAATATCATTATCTTCTTATACAAAGTAATGTGTATGTAGAAATTGAGGTCTAGGTTTTAAATATGTAAATCAATAGGAATTGAGTGAGCTTTATGTAAATCGTCTTTCTAATATAAAAAAAATGCATATTTTATTGGGATAAAATCAAAGTGGCTAATGAATATAATTTATAAAAATCATTCCATGGGAATCTTTAATTATAAGTTGTGAAGAAAATTATGATACCAAAGCCATTAAAACTCTTTGCAGAGACATTCTTAATTTACAAATTGAATGATGGCTGTTATTAATGCAAAAATAATAATAAAATGTAGCTGCTAAAGTCTAGACATAATGATAAATATTTATTTTTCATATTGTTTCCTGGAATTACTAGGTCATAACATCTCCATTAAAATAGAAAATTCTTTTTTAATTATAATTAATCAAGTCACATATTGTACATCAAAAATTTGTCAATAATGATATTGATATGTAACAGTCCATAAAAGAAGATTATGATAAAAAATCATGAAACCTATTTGTCCGACTGATGAAACTGTAAGAGTCAAGCTGGTAAGGCCAAAGCTGGCTGAGACTAAGGGTTTGTTTGAGACAGTCGTAGCTTATTAAAAAATCTGCTAATAGACTGATTAAAAATAATATATTGATAAGCTAGGTGCGAAGACTATTACAATTTTTTTTAAAAGCCAAACTGGTCCTAGAAAGCTGCCACCCAACCTGAAAACATTGTTTTCATTGTTTTCAAAACGCATAAGCTGTCAAATGCACTTTATCCAAACAGGTCAGGTGCATTTTCAAAATACAATCGCACTAAATAAGCTGCCTCAAATGGGCCCTAAGCTATAAGGTGGGTAACACTAAAATATTTAAGAATACGGGAAAAAAATATTTGAAAACTGAACACAAGTTTTGATGGGTCATAAGCATCATATAAGAGT